ATTGGGCTGCATTTAGGTTTTCTTCTCAGAAAACCATTAAAATATTTCATTCACAGGCACTTAATATTCTACTCTCCAAAAAAAAAAAAAAAATTACAACCATGTATTTACAAATCAACCTGAAGTTTTTGACCATGACACTATGACACGGTTAAGCAAAAACAAGTTTTGTTTTTTTTGCACAGATATCTGAAAAATTGGAAAATACTGACCTGGTGGACAGAAAAGCATCAAGGAGGAGAACCTAGACAAATGAAAGATAGAAAACATTTTCAGACATTTTCTGCAAGTATCTAGAACAGGAGATGTAAAAATAATGTTAAATAAACGCTAAAAACCGTTGATTTCAGACCTGATGTCATTCAGAATAACAGGGTTCAATGTGAAAAGCCTCAAATGGAGCACCAAATGATGTAGCTTGTCATACAAGTTTTAAAACGCATGAAGCTGTAATGTCATGATGGATGTAATTTTAACTCTTCCATTCATTAATCGTTCCCTCTTTGTCTTCTCGACAGGTTATTTAACAGTCTCCACTGAACCTCTGCCTCCTGTTGTCATTGGAGACACGGTTAATCTCAAGTGCAACTTCCGGACAGATGGAAAACTCAGAGAGATTGTGTGGTTTCAGGTGAGAACACGCTCTTCAACATATGATGAAATAGAAACAAAAGCTGTTTTTCCACTGTGCAATCCATTACAAGTATGGGAGGGGCGGGGATGAGGAAGGGCTTTACACCCTGGACAGTCCAGCAGTTCATTTTCAGGGCCGCATATATATCTCTATACACAGGTAAAACATGCACAAAATGAGAAATCATTATTTTATTTAATTTCCCTAAAGTTGGACTTTTCATCTGCGTGTGTAACAACAGGGAATATTTACCTAGAATTCTTAATTATTTCCCCTGCTTTCAGGTGATTGATGAAGGTAATGAGAAGCAGAAGATTTTCACCTACGATGCCATTTACAACAACACGCACGGGCACACAGAGGACAGCTACAGAGAAGAAGACATGGTCTACCAGTCAACTGTGAGGTGAGGCAGGACTGAATTCCCTGAAGGTAAACGTCTGCATGAAAGACTTCAGGACCACTGTATGTTTGTCACCTGCAGTTGTTCATGTAAACCAGCAGAAGAATTAGAAGAAAGAAAACTAAGACATGTTAACGTCTAACACCTGACACATCACTTAATAATAAATAAATCTAAAACCAAGCCCAGCTGAGTCTGTTCTGTATGTGGACAGGGTTCCTGAGGTCCAGATGGAAGATGATGGTCTGTATGAGTGCCATGTTGGGATCTATGACAGAAACTCCAAAGACAAAGTCTTTCTGGCCTCTGGCAGCATCACTCTCACTGTCATTGGTATGTACTCTACGGGGCTCTTTGATTGGCCACAGTCTGAAGCAGGGGTGCCCAATAAGTAGAAAAAGTGTGGACACCCCTGGTCTAAAGAGAAACTGTGGGCCACTGTGTTTGAGGGCCTGTTGAAAAAACATTTTATATTTTTTTTGGCTTAAAAAGATCATTGACCATTTTTTTTTCAACTTTCAATATAAGTGCCCTAAAATGGACCTGAATTTTTATTTTTTTAAATTCTGTCAAAAGATTTATTCTGAAAAATGAACCAAATATTCAGAGAACATCTCTGTAAACTAGTTTCTTTTCTCCTAAACTCTGCCTCTCCTCTTGTTAAGGACCAGTTTTAGAAGGATGTATCTGTTGTGTTTTC